AGAGAGATTATTTCGAGGTAGGTGACCTATAATTTGCTAAATTAACGCTTATCATAAAAAAAGACGAAGACGCAGTGGAAAGATTTCGTGACTTTATTTTCTGATAAAAAAAGGAAAAAAAAAAAAAAATGGAAACAACATTGTTTTTGTATTAAAGACCTAATCTTTTCTTTTTTGTTATCTTTATTATTTCATTTTAGTTGATAGAAAAATAAAAGAATCATCATGTCGATTATTTCTCATTTATTATCAATTAGAACATCAACTTGTTTAACAAGAAATCTTCTTCGATCGACTAGTTTATTAACACAAAACCGTTTTGTATCATCAACATTATCATTATCAAATAAAACTGATACGAAAAGTAGTACTTTACCTCATGGATTACCACCATCTGAAAAGAAGAAAGCGAAATTTAATATATCATGGAAAAGTAAGTCAAGTCGATAAATATTTTTATCCATAGAATCCTATATTAAAGTTTCAATTGGATTAGTTTTCTTAGACTTTTAAGGGTGTGCTCTCAACCAATGAAATAACTTCATTTATTCTGCATAGTTAATTCTCTTCGAAAATAATACTTAAGATATTTGACTAGAAACGAAACTTGTCTTGTATCTATTCTATTAAAAGTTTCAAATTTTTATAGATAAATACATAAAATATTATTTGAAGTTGATTCAACAAACACATGAGATAAAAATAAAAACTCAACAACCACTATTGTATCTGTATACAAATACATAGCATGCTATCGAGCATTGAACATTTCAATATTTCAGTCAATATTCTCTTCATTACTCTATAATGTGTTATGATAAATATTAAGTTTAATATTATTAGTTTATTTTTTTAGCTGTAAGTGTAACTGCTTTTGGTGCTGCTTCATTAATGGCTTTCATATATTATCTTGATCAACGTAAAGCAAAAAATCGTAGAAAACTTCAACGTACTGCAGTTGGTAAAATGGCTATTGGTGGTCCATTTTCATTGATAACACATGAAAAAAAACCCATTACAGATAAAGATTTTCATGGTAAATGGCTATTGATTTATTTTGGTTTTACTCATTGTCCAGATATATGTCCTGAAGAATTAGAAAAATTAGCTGAAGTTACAGAAATTCTTAATAAACAAAAAAATAAACAAAAATATTCATTTCAACCATTATTTGTTTCTGTTGATCCGGAACGTGATACACCTGAATTAGTTTCACAATATATTAAAGATTATTCACCACATTTTATTGGTTTAACAGGAACACGTGAACAAGTTGCGGATATGTGTAAACATTATCGAGTTTATTTTAGTCAAGGACCGAAAGTCGGTGATGATTATATTGTTGATCATGCTATAATTATGTATTTAATCAATCCAAACGGTGATTTTGTTGATTATTACGGTAGAAATAAGAATGCAAAAGAAGTAGCTACTGCTATTGAACAACATATGAATGCTTTCAAAGAGACGAATACATAATTTCAAAAATAAATTAGGAATATGTTTTTTGTTTTTCCATGTCACTAGTTTGCTTTTTAGATAATTTGAAAAAATGTCTTCAATACGGGGTAAACAAAGAGTTAGTTTTGGATACAAAACAGTAAATCGTCGAGAAAATAGTTTAAAATCAACCCCAAAAGAATTTCTTGATTATCGTGATGAACAGTATACTGATTTTAGTCCACAAAATATACCAATAAATAAAAAACGTTCACGAGAGTACGTAGCAATACAATAGGTTTATTTGATTTTTTTAAATTTTATTTTCTTTAGATCAAATACTCCGAAATTTAATAAATCAAAAAAATTTAAACAAGATAATAATACTAGTTATTTAAATTCTGCTGATTTTCATATGGTAAGGTTTTTGGTGACGAAACTTTTCATCGCAGAACAAACTGTCGCATGAACGAAACGTTGCAAAAACAAATTATTGCACTGTTGAAATATTGCAATATCTTTTCTGATTGTGGATTAGAATCTATCGTGTTGATCTCGGATCCGATTGGATTCAAAGCTGAGAATTTTGAATAGTGTAGATGTACATGTGTACGTATGAGTGTTAGCGAAGAAAACACACGCACACCTAGATCCTTCTCATATACAAATATATAACATTTAAAGATATTGCAACATGTTGTCCATTTAGCGATTTGTCGTTGCAACATTCTGACTGTGCGACAAAAAGTCCTGGCACTAAATCTTTAGTTGTAAAAAAAATATTCTTTCGATTATTGTCTTTTTTTTTTTTGTATTTTGTTAGTTAACAGATGAACTTTTAAATCATTATACAAAAGCAAAACAACTTGAATCTACTTTTGCATTAAAATGGAAACTTTGTGAAGATATTTTTTCAATGTTTATTGGCATTGTTCCAAGTAAAATTATTAAGAAAAAAAACGAATTTTATTTCTTAATATTATTCAATCTATTTAGATTTAGGTGTTTATTTAGTTGGATCTAGTGCAAATGGATTTGCTACAGAAGATACAGATGCTGATATATGTATTGTGATTTCATCTTATCCTGTAAGTATTAAAAATAATATAAAATTGAAATACAAAATTTCCTCTTGTTTTAGATTGATCAAAAACGTGAAGCAGTAAAATTTCTTGAAATAACGCGACGTGCTTTACGTAAAAAGATTTGTTCGTATTATTTTACTTTTTCTATATGTCTTTTCATCACATATTTTATTATATTTAGTTGCTGGTGGATGTGATTTAATACGTGCTCGCGTTCCAATTCTTCGATTTACTGACTATGCAACGTAAGAAATGTTCTCTTTGGTATTTTATCAAAAGTTTTCTTTCTATTATTTTTCTTTTCAGTCGATTAAAATGTGATGTAAACATTAATAATATAACTGGTATTCGAAATACAGATTTATTACGTTTCTATGCTGAAACAGATCCACGAGTAGCGCCACTTGGTTAGTTACAAAGTTTCTTATTATTTTAATGATGTCAAAGAACTTTTTTGGAATAAAAATAGTATATTGAATAGGCGGCTATGAAGGTTTCTATTTTCGAAATTTTCACAAAAACTGATAGTTGTAGATGAAATAATTATCGAAGATAATTATCGGAAAACTTATTTTAACACATGCTATATTAAGAGAGAACTTCATGAACTATCAAAATCATTATTTCCATTTAAGGATGCTTTTCATTTCTCGATCGAAAATTCTTGTTTCTGTTCTATATACACTTCCACGTATTCTCTATCTACTGAACCTATTTCAAGAGTTAATGTATATTTTATAATAGTCGAAAAACTACAAAACATGAAACATTTTCGCTATTTTTCAAAATGGAGTTTTTTTCGGAAAAACAATAATTTAAAATTGTTCCCGTTTCTCAACCACAGTGTATATCCGATTGAGCTGACACTTTCGTATACTTATACGAGAAAGTGTTTAGTTCTATTAGACATATTATGGCTGACAAAGGAGGTAATATATAGCCCTTTCAACTTTAATATTTTCTACGGGAAAGCATTCGAGAATTTCGAGTCTATGACAACGTTTGCTCTATTCATCGAGATTTATCTACACTAAAACTTGCAAAATTTTCTGATGAACTGTTCCAGAAAAATACCAACAATGTTAGGAGAAAATGTTTTTTTCTTAGAATTTTAACTAATATAATATTATAATTAATTTCTTTCTTTTTAGTCTTAACACTCAAAAGTTGGGCAAAATTTCACAATGTATGGCTAAAAGAATAATTATTATTCTATTCAGATAAAAAATTATTTTTGTATTTTTTCGTATTAGATTAATGATGCCAGTCAGAAAACATTATCAAGTTACTCTATTACATTAATGTGTCTTTTCTATTTACAAGGTAGTTTATTATTGACTTTTATTTTTCGTTTGTTTTATTTTTTTTTCATTATTATCAATTATTTCAGCTATTGCAAAACCATCAGTTGTGCCTGTTTGGCAAGCACTCTTACCGGTAAGTTGAATAGAATTTATAAAAATTCTCTTTTTCAAAAAAAAAAAGAAAATCATACATTTCTTTCCTTGTTTTTAAGAATCGCTTTGATGTTAACATTCCTGTTGCAAATTTAAAACGTAATGATGAACCAAAATTAATCTGGCGATCAGATAATCATCAAACACTTGGTGAATTATTTATTGGATTTTTAAAATTTTTTGCTAAAGATTTTCGGTAAAAAAGAAAACATAAAATTTTAAAATATATTTATTCTAAATTTACAATCATATATATTTATATAGATATGACAGACATGCAATTAGTGTTCGAATGGGTTGTTTAATCGATAAAGATGATTTTTTAGATAATGATGTAACAAACTATGGACAAGTTCTATTAGCTATTGAAGGTAATAGAAAATCCATTAGAAAATAAAATAGAATAAATTTTTGTATTTTTTAGAACCATTTGATTTAACCAATACAGCTCGATCTGTTTATGATGATGACGAGTTTGAACGTATAGTTCGTGTATTTCGTCGAAGTTATTATACTATTGATAAAACTAGATCATTTTCTTCAATTCTTACAGAACAATTTGAATAATATATATATATATTTGTTTTTGTTATATTCTCTTTTGCAGGAGATCGTTCTATTTCAATATACATGAAGTTCTTACGAAATTTAAGTGTGTTGTTGTTATTGTGTTTTTTTTTAAAATCATGTTTATTGAACTATAAAAGAGAACATACAAATTAACGAAGCAAAAAACAATATTTAAAACGAGAAAATTTTGTTCAGAAAGCATTTAAAAAAAGAAGGAAATATTTAAACTATAAATGGCATCACATCACAGAACAGCACTGTAAGATTAAAATAAAATAGACAAACCCCTTTTAAGTAATAATAATAATAATAATAAAAGAAAAAGACAAAGCTGATACATACAAAAAAAAAAAAAAATGCACAGCACCAAATGAAAACAATACACATCTACTAAATAGCTAATTTCTATAAATATTACGTATTTATACATAACTATCACCACCTTCACCATCACGTTTTGTTGATAAACGTGGTGGAGGCGGTGGTGGTCTTAATGGTGCACGAACTTTAGGAATAACAGAAGGAATATTTGATTCAGTTGTTGATTGTGATTGAGTATTCTTATTTTCTTTAACTAATGGTATCAATTTGTCAGATATACCACCAGCTATTGTTCGTTGTTGATTATTATTATTTGTTTTTGTTGATGGTGTCAATGGTGTTAAATATGAATCATCTCTTTGTTCAGAATAATCTTTATCTGATTGAGATAAATATGTATGAGATGTATTATCACTTGCTGTTGGATAATAATCATTTGTTGTTGTTGAACGATATGTAACATCATTATTACGAGGAGAATTAGATGGACTTGTATTATCATTATGAAATGTTGGTAATTCACTAACACCTTGATCTTCACCAAAAAGAAAAACATTCTCATCTGTTTCATTGTCTTCTTGATAACGATTATATTCATTTCGATAATACTATTAAAATTGTAAAAAAAAAGAAGAAAACACGATGATACAAATTATTTTGATGTCAAATAAAAATAAAATTGATTAAATACATACTTCAAAAGCTTGTTTTGATAACATTTTTGAATGACATAGAAGAGCACGAATTCGTGTCATTTCTGGTCGACTATTTTCATCGACTAGACATTCACGAATAATAGCATAACTATATAATAAAACAAAAAGAAAACAATGAATTAGTTTTTACAAACGAAATCTAGAAGCATATTATTTAATGCTCATGAGAACAGAAGAACTCGACACCTTCGTTTATTGCTACTAAGATATTGCATTTTAATGATACTTTTCAAATCAAAACTGTGGTCTCACTCAAAAATCCTAGGAAAACTTATTTTTGGAATTTCGACTTGAAAATTTCCAGAGGAACAGAACTTAATGAAAATAGTTGATTTTGAAAGTTTCAGATCACTTCTTTGTTTCTATCCTAAGATACAGCTATGATAAAAGCTTGTCGTTGACATTACTCATATACACAAACAGAGCTGATGTACTTATCAATAAACTATTCTCGTTCACTTAACTTGTGTTTCTACGCACAATACCAAGTTGAAATTCGAAAACGAATGTTCGTGAGAGTCACTAAGACACTGACTTAAAACATAACATAAAAATATAACATCTCAGTAGCAATAAACTAAGGGTTCAAACTGTTTTCAGGATATTCATATCTAATTATGATCGACAAAATGTGCATAGTCCCAACTCATAGTAAATATCATCGATTCAGAGAGTTCTCTCATTCAGTCACAGATGTCAGTATTACTTCTTGATAGAATGAATAAAACTGATGATAACCGATATGTTAACAAAAAAAGTTATGTATAGATTCGGCGTAAAAAAACAAACGTTAACATTTATTTTTGTACTTTTAGTTTTATAGACTTAGTCAAAGTAGAAACTATTGCTTGAATGTACAAGATTCAATAATAAGTATTCAAAGATATTTTTCACATTCTTTTCCATTTCAAGCAGTTAATGTATGTTTAAACAAAAAGCATAAGGATTATATATCTCGCTGAAAACGTAATTATTCGTCGAAATACTTGAGCAAGTGAAAGAATATTACTGAGAAAGAGTTTAAAAAAAGAAAAATAATTCTGACAGTAACAAAGAAACATAAATAAACAATGGAAGAGGATAAAATCCTTTGTTTAAAACAAATAAAACTTCATTAGTTCTCAACAACGGTCATTATGAATCCATATCTTATAATTTATTTTGATCGAAAATATTTTTGATCTAAGTTTGAACATCGTAGCTATTCATTCTCACATATAATGTTTTGATTCAGTTACTAAATATTTTCTATACAATTTCAAAATATGCTTCAACGCTATTAATGTAATTATAAGTATTTATCACATAGTCTATTCGAATGTTAAACTAGTGGAAAAACATATATCTCCTATCCCAAACAAGATGAATACAAATTATTTTATAAGACATTTCCGTTATTCAGATGCTGTTACTTTTAATATCAAGTTTTACTACATGTTTTCACTATTCTTCAAATTCTTTTTTTCTTCTTATGAATTTCGAATAAACTGTATCGTATGAATATTGTTATATCAAATAAACGAAAAGATTTTAGTTCAAAATTAATATTTAATTTTAATTGTAACTAAATGCTTACATATTGCTTGGAATTTCTGGTTGATAATCAATATATTTAAGAACACGACCTTCACTAACTACACGAGCAAGTCGATGAAAAAATGTTTCTCCATCCATTTTATTTTCCATTTCTTCTAAAAGTCTATTAAATGGTCGAATTCGACCTTAACAAACAATCAATTAATATAATAAAAGAAAAATTATACAAAAATAAAATACTTACATTTAAGAAATAATGTCCAAAGAAATATTCCAAACGACCATCTATTAATTTAATTAATACATTTAGAAAAATTAAAGTAACAAAAAAGAAAAAAGGTTCACTTACACATCAGATTTTATTGATGCTTTATTAAGTAAAATACGTTCATCAGGAGTTGATGCACGTAAAATAGCTCGAGCAAGTTCTGGTGTTAAATTATGTGTTGCTAGTTCATTCTACAAACAAAAAAATGTTAATCCTTCAAAATGATTTTAGTATTATAAAAAGACATACATGTTTCTTTTGAAGTTGTACACTATCATTTTGTGCAAGTTGTTCACGATAATTTTTATATGTTGTCCATGTTGCCAAACTAAATAAAACATATCTTTAAAAATTCAAGACAAAAGACTGAAAGAAAATATTTACCCAAAATCACATATTTTCATAATAAATCTTGAACTAACTAAAACATTTCTTGCTGCAATATCACAATGAGCTATTTGTCGTCTATTTAAATAATCAACACCACAAGCAACTTGGTAAGAAGCTAATATTAAATCATCATCTGTTAATATACACGAATCATGTGCTTGTGGAATAGTCATTCCTACATCCTTGTGTTTAGCAAGTGTTTCATATAATGATAATTTTTTATCTGATATATTTGATGATGGTTGAAGAAAACGTTTAAGCATTGATTCAAGTGAACCATTTGAACATAATTCCATTAAATAAAATGAATCTTCATCACGTACAAGTCCACCTGTTATTATATATTTAATTTTTGTTTCTGGATATGCAACTTTAAGTAATGAAACAATATTAACATGTTTACCAGCTTTATGCATAACTTTAATTTCATCAATTAACATTTCAGCTGCTTTTTTCTTTTGACTTTCATGTTTTTTTGTAATCATTTCTTGACTTTCTTCATTATCATCACCTTTCTTACGTTTATCACGACGACGTTCAATATTACGTATAGATTGTGGTAATAATTTTGCAGCAACAAGACCAACTTCTGGTAAACGTACTTGATAAACAACACCATATTGACCGTGACCAAGTTCTTTGAAATCATCAGCTAGTGCAGGTGCTATATCACCATTAACATAACCAAGTAATGTACGAACTTGTTGTGTTGATGCAAAATTATCTGGTAATCGTATACGTGGTAATTGTGTCATTGGTGGTTGAGATTTATCTTCGGGTTCAGCTGGTTGATGAGCATGAAAAACACTTGTTTCAACTATTTTTTTCATTTTATAATATTTTACAGCCAGAACGATAAGTAAAATAAGTAGAATAAGTATTAAAAAAGCAGATAGTATTATAAATATGGCTATTAATCGACGAAATCTTGAATGCAAATATGGAGCTAAATAAAGAAAAGAATATATAATCAAAAAAAAAAAATTCATGTTTTTTTTTCTTTCTTTTACTTTTAACACGTAAATCAAAACTTCGACGTAATGTTGGATCACGACCATTAATTAATTCACACGTATAATAACCAGTATCAGAAGCTTGAACACGAGTGATATGAACACTAAAAAATAATGACAAATTTTTTACTTTTGCCTATAAAACATACCCGATTTTTATTAGATAATTAATTATGAAATCCAAAACGTCATACAAATAGAACATAGTGTATATATATATCTACGCATGCATCGAACCCATTGACGTATCCAGGATTTTTCAGTATGCTGAATCTTGACTTTTGAGCATGGGACCCAAATGAAACTCATAGAGGGTGATGTTGAGTCAAAATGATGGAATTTTATCAAAAAAAATTTGCACTCGGAGTTTGCGAAAAAAATTAGCATTTTTCTGATCGCGCGTCATAGGATGCTTTAG